CTAAATGGTTAAATTGTTAGAAATCCCCAAGAGTAGCTAGTATTTTAAGTCTCAGTATGTCTCTAGAGGGCTACATGTCTAAGACTTGATAAAGCTTTTTCAGTTAAAAATTAAGACTGGGGGGGGTATTTTTATTTACTTGCTTGAGCTGCTTCTTCTTGTCTTTCACAGATATTTCTTTATTCATTACAATTTCTTCCAATAAAGCTGCCAGTGGTCCTTGAGAACCAGCTGCCCTTTGGTTTTCAAGTTCATCTGTACTGATTTGGTGACAAAATGATGGAGGAGGAAAAGTTGCATCAGTATCAGCTCCAGCATATTTTATCTGGGGGGGGGAAAAAAAAAAAAGGGTAAAAAAAGGAGCAGCTATGTTTTTTGCAATAAATTTGCAAAAATTGGCTTAATCAAACTGACAACCTGAAGTCATTAAGTAGAGAAGTTATAGAATAAAGACCCAAAATTCTACCTCCTATCTCCTGCACCAAGTGAGTTCTAGTAAGTCAAAAGGCATGAAACAAAGGAAGACTGTTTAAATCTTGGAAGTTAAATGGCTTTTTTTAGTAGAAATAAATAAATAAAAACTAAAAAGCAGTTTTGAATTAAATAAAGTATGGTATCAGAAAACGAGTTATGAAAAAGCAGAGTAAGTGAAGATCGCTCTAAAAGAAAATCAGAACACTAATGAAAATGCTTTTTAACTATTCACAGTTTTCCTCACTACCACATATTTTGCCCATTCCATGGAGAAGATAGTCCTGACCAACAGGGAAATAAATTTTAGAGTTCTTGTCTCTAAACCATTCAAGTTCTGTTTCGTTTCATTTAAATACATAATTATGGTTCAATATCAGCAGTCAAAATTAATTAGCTCTTCATAACCTAGCAGAGACAGAACAAAGTCTTTACGAACAGACCATAAAGGATAAATTTGATATAGAAATACAGAGGCATTGGAGGCTTTTTTCACTAGATACCAACTTGGACTCTCTGGAGGTGTACAGCATGTTCCTCTATAGAAGATTTTAAGGCAGAAGGAACACTTAAGATGTCTTGATAATTGTCCATGAGAAAAGATACTAGTTTAGCAGCAAGTAATTCATCCAAGTCCATTTCATCCTTTGAACAGAGAATACAACGGGAAAATGCCTGAACCATCTGTGGAAAAAAAATACCAAAAACCACATCAGTATTGTGTATTTCTCCTGTTTGGGGGTGGAGAATCAGACTTTGTTTAAAAAGTGATTTTTTTAGTAAAAAAAGATTTTAACAGTGTAATACTATACTTCCAACACATCCATATATTAAAAGTATTGTGTACACTGACAGTATCTGAGTAGACTGAAGATGTCCCTTGCCTCATATACATAATGTAACTTTGACTTTAGACTTAGAATAGCTAAATTCTATTTTATTCTCAAGACCGTCAAATAGCTCCTTCACATGGCTTTTCCAATTAAACATGGCACTAATATTTCAGAGATTTTAAAAGTAACACAGAAATTTGATAGAAGTTAGACACCAAGGGAAAACTTAATTATTCCATTATTTCAAAATAAAACCAAATTTCAGGTCCAGCTCAGTTCATGTGGACTTATGCTCAAGCATTCAGTTACAAGAGTTTTCTGTCTGCATCAGTCACTTTTAACATCAAAAGCATGGAAAGCAATCAAGGTTTTCTGTCATGTACCATAGACTACACTGCTGAATTAAAACTTAGTACAAAATACTTGAACTGTAAAGGATTCACTTCTAAAAATAACATTTAGATTTTAACATAATTACTTTAATCAAAGACCATTTAAAGTTAATTAGATTATAACCTTAGCAGTCAAGAATGTAATTATTTTAATCAAATACTATTCATAGTTAATTAAAAACTTAATTGCTATGGAACAAATTTAGATTTGCGAATGCTACTATAGGATTTTTATGGAGTGGCTCTACAGCTCAGTTTTCTGTTGCCCTTCTTGCAAAAAGGATTTGAAAATTAACCAGAAGTTCTTAGGCAGTGAGAATTGCTAAGAGTTATGCCTAATAACTTTGTAATAACATGCTGTTGCACACAGCAGTAATAACTCCACAAGTAGCCCTAGAGGAAGAGCATTAGTGAAAACTAGGGCTTTGACAAAATCTGATTAAAATAATTTTCAGAAGTTTCTGTAGTTCAGTGATAAAAAAATAACACTGAAATAATATGGTAGGATTTTTCTTTAATGTCTCGAAACAGGTAGATCAAATCATTTAGCTACATATTTCTAACTGTGACTGAAACAGGCAGTCTGTTTCTCTCACGGTCTGCAGTGATAAAGAACACCAGAGACCTTATCTACTGTTCTGGTTTTTGGGGTTTTGGGGGTTCTTTGTTTGGTTTCCTCTACTCAATAGTGAAATAAGTGGTGATTTTACTTTGAATGATAAGGAAACCTCCAGATTCTGAGCAAATTCTCCATTTTCTCACAGCTTACCTAGGAACCCCAAGTTATTCAAATTCAGAGTAGCTTTCCACATAGCTACAATAGACAAACTGTTCTTCAAACAAGCAAATGGTAGGATTTTGTGTACACTCTCCAATAAGGATCTTTTATCTTTGCTACTCCACAAGTCTTGTCTACACCTTCTGCCTTACACTATACATACCAAGGTTCTGGTCCTCACTGATTCAGAAAGAGGCGGCAAATCCTTGTTAGAGCTAATTTTTGCCATCATCCTCACCAACAGCTGTAGCCTTTTCCGATTCTCTGGTGGCAGCAGGAGACAGGATATCTGAAGAGCTTCTATGGCCTTGCTGTGCTTTTGCAGCAGACCTGGTTTATACAAGGTCAGGACAATAGGTGACATTTCTCAATTAATATATTTCCATAACATTTAACATAACATTTCTAAAACTGTCCCCCACATCATCCCACTAAGGCCAAATGTAGCTTTCCAGGTGAGCCTGTGATTGGTGTCTGGAGGAGGCTGTTTAGGCAAGACTTCTGGAGAAACACGACACTTTCAAAAATATACTGCCAGTAAATTGTACATACATGAAAATGGAAAACAAACAGCAGTTTTTGAAAGTCTGTATTCCCCTTGATTTTTTTTTTGTGTAAATCTGTTTATGTTAGCAAGAAAGAATTCTATATTAACATCTTTTTTTTTTGTGAGAGACCACAAAATGAGGGGTTTTAACTTTGTGTTGTTGCTGTTGAAAGAATGCATGATTTCATTTTCACATAATCAACATTAATTCTTCCTTCTCATTTTTATACCTGTGAAATATTACATAAGATGATTATCTTAAAACTTGAAAAATTTGAAATACGATGGAAAAGCAAACAGAAAGAGAGTATGAAAGGAGAGGAAAGATTTTAAAAGATATTATCAAGAATATCTGTTGTCTAAGATAAAGAAGTCAAAAAAGGAACTATATTCTGTTTGAAGGAAGACTGTCATTCTTAATTCCTTTTTCAACTCAATAGTTTATTAAAAGCAATAGTGTTCCCACTAAAGGAAGCTCAGAAAAAAGCATGCTTTGTAGCGTGTCACTTTTTTCTCAATTCAATTGTCCTCTTCTGAAATATAGCCATAAACTTTAATCAAATGTTTTCACATTTACTGTCTTTCAATGGATCATCTATAGGTACAGGACAGGTGAACTTGATATAGTGTGAATCCTTAAAAAGTTACAGTTCATAGTTAAACTATTGTTTCTTTAAAGCACTAGATCAGTTAATGTCTATTCTAAGTTTAAGCAATGAAGGACTTCAATCTCCTTCAGACGTCATATTGCCAGGGTTACAAGCAGTCCTTACTGCCCTAATCCTTTTTAATCTAGACTTCAGTCAAACAATTTCTAAAAGCTTATATGAGTTTAAGAGGCTTAGGCAATTATAAACAACAACCAAAAAAACCAAACCACCATGCTGTTAACATTCATCTGTCAGGTGCAGCCATGCTAAGCAATGAAAAAAGTCCTTTATAACTTTTAAAGACAAGCAATGGAGGATTTTTGGTCTAATGTGATCAAAAAGATACAACAATAAAACTGCCTTGTGACAGGAAATAAACAAGTTTAAATATTAAACTGTTCTCTGTGTAGAAGAACAGGTCCTAAAGAAATGAGCTATGATACTATTTGGATATGGTAAATTTATTCCAGCAATTTAATTCAAAAGAACAATTTTTTTTCATTACATCCCAAACTACTTACCTAACACACTAACAAAGATGTCAAAAAAATGAAATGGGAGAAGAGGTTCTTTTGTCTGGCCAAAGTAGTCCACTATAGTTTTGAAGACATCTCTTTCAAATCCTGAGTATGTAGGCTGCTTCAAATCTGAGCAGCTGGGCCCTACGAAGTGGTGGGAGAGGTGGGGTTGTGGAGGGAAAGGAGAGAGAGGGAAGAGAAAATTAATTTGCAGCCAACAACCAGATCACTGTTTTCTAGTACAGCCAACAAAAATGCAACTTCAAGAAAAAAAAACAAAAAACACACACAAACGACCCCAAAACCTTGACTCATTCTCTAAATATAACCAAATTCGATTGATCTATTTCCAATAGGTCTAATGAAAACACATACCGCAGGAAAAATGTGAATAGTTAAACTTTTATATATTTCATTAGAATCATAGAATGGTTT